TGGCTGTGTGGGATCCGGCTCCCTTAACCACTTAGCCACAGGGCCAGCCTGGGTATTCCTTATTCTTTATGTCATGAACCAGAAATACTGAGATAAGAGAGAGTGGGGTCTATTATCCTTTGCAGCATCACAATTTGATTACTCTAAATTACAACGTGCCTTTTGGAGAATAACCCGGGTCACACCCAAAGTCTCAGGGTCACGTCTTACTCCGTTTCAGTGGCCCTTTCGTTCTGCACACTGCCCTGAACTGCTCTTCTTTCTCACTTCTTTGTTTGATAATTACATTTTCGCAAGCCTCTCTCTGCCACAGAGATTGCATTCCTGGAAAACAGAGAGCTAGGTGAGTCTGCCCACATTCAGGTCTTATATGGAGCACACACTCAATAACCATCTGCTAAAAAAGGACATGCGCTCATTCTCTGGACCCATCCCTGTCCTGGGTCACATTTTGTCAAGGACTCCCATAAAGTCTAAGAGCACGTGTACAGAGGTAGAAAGCTGATGGGATGGTAACGTAGGTGTATGCCTTGAGAGTGAACGTAGCACCAAGTGCTCAGTCTGATGAGATAAAAATGTAGACAGACCGTATAAAAGCCTTTCACTCAGGCCAGGCAAGCCACCGCAGACGCAGCAACTAGGGATGAAGGGGCGTGGCCACAGCGCACGAGAAAAGACCTGGGGGTCCAAAGGAATGACGTAATCACTGACCAGCAGGCTGTCGGACTCTGTTAATGCTCTGATTACGATGTTCAGAGAGAAGGAAATAAAGAAATGGAAGGAAGAAAAAGAGGGGGGACGGAAGGAAGGAAGGGAAGAAAGAAGGAAGGAAGGACGGAAGGAAGGAAGGACAAGACAGGAAAAGAGGGAGAGAAGTAGGCAGCAAACTTGCACTAGGGCCTCCAGCATAATTGGATCTTGGGGATGTTATCCCAGAAGGATACAAAGTTTCTAAACTGAATACAACTTTATAAACTTTAAATGACTTCAGGGACTAAAATGGTCCCAAAGAACAAGGTGGAATTTAAATTCTCTTCTAAGAGTGATGGCCAGTCCTTTGGAGATTGTGCCTCAAGCACAGGAGGCAGGTGGAGGGCAGAGACTGGCCAGACCCTTCACCTGGCACATGCTCTGAGCCTTCACCCTGTTGCTGTTTTGGATGTGTAGCCTCTGGCCAGTCCTTGGGAAATAGATCATTTTTTTATTATCATGTTTCAAGTAAAGGTAAGTGCAAGTTTTGCTGAAAAAATAACAAATGATAACAGCTGCATTTCTGTCATCCGACTTGATTATAATGGAATGGGGAGTAGAGGAGGGCAGACATGAAGCACTTTCATCATCGTGATATAATTCTCACAGCATCAAATAGGCCCATCGAGCTGCAAGAGCCTCTCAGATCGCCTGACCTCACCCCATCCTTGTAGAGAACGTAAGGACCTGCAGGAACCACCTAGCTAGCAGTGCTCTTCTCACACTTGGTTGTCCCTTCTTGACTAAAACTGTTGGACTCTTCCTTTTTGTAGTTGGAAGCCAAATTCAGATGATAATAATGGGCCATATTTTGGGACCCAGCAATGACAATGGAGGGAATGTTTTCTTCACGTGGTTCAGGTTCTGAGGATAGTAAAGTTGGCTGGCCAGCACAGAGCGGAAAACCCAGCTGAGGACTTACTTATTGCCCGGCACTATCACAGGTAGCAGTGCGTCCCGGGCACCTCCGCCACCTTCAGGCTTGGGGACTATTCTCGACATTAGCCTTCATAGTCAATTCCTGCATTATACATTTGCCTTTATATATATATAAATATATATATATATATTTTTAAGGCCCTAGGAAAAAAAGATTCTTTGTGCTGAAGCCATGCTAATTCAGGGTATTTGGAGAACCATGGTGTGGAAGCAGGATTAATTGTCTTTCCAGAAGACAGGGCCAGGTAGAAGTTTTAAAGAGGTAGATTTGAACTCAGGACCAAAGGGTAATTACTTCAAAATGTAATGAGCTTTGGAGAGCCGAAGAGCTGAAGAGCTCCACATCAACCAGTCAAACGTGGGCTCTAAGACTCAGGAATGTAGTAAGGGGCTTTCTACATTGGAAAGGGAGCAGATTGCTAATTAGACTCTAAGGCCTATTGTCCTGAACATTAGAATGATTGTTATGGGTGATAACAATGATGATGATGGTGATGTTAACTATTTGTTTACGTGACAATTGCTCTAATCGATTTCATGAGCTCTTTGAGGTTGAGTACTGCGTCTTTCTTTTTTTTTAATAATTATTTGTTTTATTTATTCATTCATTTATTTTTTTAGTTTGATCAGAGACAGAGAGTGAGAGTGAGAGAGAGAGAGGAAGTGAGAAAGCAAGCCACCAGATTCAGGACTTGAACCCTGGTCAGCCATATGGGAGTGTCCAGCGCCTTCATTGCTATGTTCCCAGCACCTAGCATTATGCCTGGCCCACAGCAGATACCTAATAAATGTCTGTAACCTGCACTGAATTCTCCTGGCACTGACTTAGCCACAACTGTCATGTGCTAAGTACTAACACTGGTGGGTCCTCGAGCTTGATAGGCAGGAAGTGTCCCTGCAGTCACTGAGGAAGGGGCTGGATTACTGAGACCTCTTGAAGAGACGGCTATCTGGGAGAGACAATGCAAATAAAACCAATTTCCCAGCACCTCAAAGTTACCTGCAAGTTTCTTACTGGTCCAGAACAAATCCTAGTTTTGGGGACCAGCAGTTAGCGTAATGGCTATGTCGCTGGACTCCCACGTAGTCGACCGCGGTTCGCATCCCGGACCCGGTGGCTTAAAACTCACGTCGGGTGCGTATGTGTGCCTGTCCAAGATCCCGAGAGGAGAATGGAGGAGAAGGGATTGCGGCATGGCCATCCTCCCTGGGTGTGGGGGGGTAATCTCTCGCTTTCTCTCTTTCTCTGTCTGTCCGGCGAGCGCACGCGCCCTATAGCAAAAACCTCTCAAAAAAAAAAAAAATTCTAGTTTTGAGAACACTTAGAAGTCTTAGAGATGTTCCGGGGGGAAAAATTCGATGATGCCTGTTAAAGCGTGGAAAGACAGACTTGATTCAGATTGCCCAGGTAGGGACGACTGCTGTGGAATTCCGCAGCGGGGTTGGACTCAACACCGAATCTAGCATGGGCGACTGGGACTCATACACAGGAGCAGGGTGACACTGAGTGTCAAGGGATGGAAAATAACAAAGGGAAACACCAGGGGTAAGAGGGATCCTGGCTAAAGTGATCTGAAAGGGCTTTTTGCTAAAGACAGACCAGGGTGATCAGACATCACCCAGAGGGTGGTGGAGGATGAAGAAACTGATCAGGGAACCAGCAGTTAGTGTAATGGCTATGTCGCTGGATTCCCACGTAGTCGACCGCGGTTCGCATCCTGGACCAGGTGGCTTAGAACTCACGCCGGGCACGTGTGCGTGCGTGCCCAAGATCCCGAGAGGAGAATGGAGGAGAAGGGATTGCAGCGTGACCATCCCCCCTGGGGGGTGATTTCTCGCTTTCTATCTCTATGTCTCTCTCTGTCTTTGCTCAAACTGGAGTTTACTAGGGAGCACACACATGAATCGGAGAAGTTTCAGGAGCCTAACTAAATTTTGGAAAAGCAAAGAATCTTCCCAGAAACATTTAACCTTCCTGGAAAGAAAAACTAACAGAGCATAAACCAGGTCTCTGTGCACAGTCTCAGGAACAAGTCAGAGCTCTGGTACAGGCCTTGGAGAGTGAGAGAGTGGGGTGATCTAGTCAGAACTCTCATTCCCCTTGGCCACGGTGCACAGCGGGCCACTTGCTGCCCAAATGTACAAAAGGACCGGGTGTATGCGAAGACCTTGGTGCTGTGAGTGTCAAAGTGGTCAGGGCTGATTCTATCAGCAGGTGGAACCAGAGTTGTCCTCTTGACTCCCACCTTCCCAAAAGAAAGAGAGGTTTTATTTTCTGGAGATTTTCATTCCTGTTCATTTTTATTTATATTGTCTTGTCTCCTTGTGTGCCTTATTCTTTTTTTTTAAGTTTATTTATTTTATTAAGAAAGAGAATGACAGAGTGTGCAAGAGAGCACACAAGAAAGACAGAGACAGGCACCCTCAACAGGGCCTTGGCACACCACGACCCTCCTTCCCCAGCTCTCCAGCTAGGTGTATATGCACCGAGTGATCTCAGATAGACTTAGCCTCTGAACCCCTGGTTGGCCATGTGGCTTCCAGCACTGCAGATCCGTATGCCATGGCTGGGCCATTGTCTCTGGGCCTCTTTATTCTTTTGTAAGGTGTACCAGATGTTATCATTGCCAAATTATTTGTGGAAATGATTTCGAGACTGGGATAACCTTTCTTCAGAATGAATTGATGTTTGCCTCTATTAAGTATTTGGATACACCCAATTTCTGGGACCACCTCAATCTAATTTCAGGGCTTGAGGAAATGTGAAGCTTAGCTACAACACTTGTAGATGCCTGTTTCTTCTGATCTACCCTCACGCCGATCATGTTGCCCTTTGCAAGCCCATCCCAAAGGGAGGACATTCAGTTAGCAGTCCTTCATGGTGGGTGCTCTTCAAAACCAGTTCACCATCTCCATGAGGCTGTCAGTAGTGCTTTTCAGCCTCAGCTGCTGGACCTACTTCTCTGGGTCCCTGTTTTTCCCAGCATGACTCTGTGATCCTTGACTGCCTTACAACCTCTCCAATGCTTTACACGAGTGTTTTATATGTTTTGTTCAGTTGTTGTAATTATCATCTGCAAGAGAATTAGTCTGAATTGACTCGTTTGTCCTTACTAGAAAAAGAAGTTGAATTTAAATATTGATCTTTTCTACTTTGTTCTAGGACCCTGTAGAGTTGAATGAATGGTCAGGGACAATCTCCAGCTGCTCACTAGGGCAAGAATTTTTGCCTGGCCATCTAGACACTTTTGAATCAAGAAAATGCTGAGGTTCACCTTCTATGTTCCTGCAGGTAACAGAGAAGATGCACCATGGACAGGCCTAATGAGACCTCCCACGTGATGGGGTTCATTCTCCTAGGACTCTCTGCCCACCCGAAGTTGGAGAAAACCTTCTTCGTGCTCATCCTGCTGATGTACCTGGTGATCCTGCTGGGCAATGGAGTCCTCATCCTGGTGACCTTCCTTGGCTCCCCCCTGCACACGCCCATGTACTTCTTCCTGGGGAATCTCTCCTTCCTGGACATCTGCTACACAACCTCCTCAGTCCCCCTCATTCTTGACAGCTTCCTGACCCCCAGGAAAACTATCTCTTTCTCAGCTTGCTTTGGGCAGATGTTTCTCTCCTTTGCCATGGGAGCCACAGAGTGTGTGCTCTTGAGCATGATGGCGTTTGATCGCTACGTGGCCATCTGTAACCCCCTTAGGTACCCTGTGGTCATGAGCAAGGCTGCCTACGTGCCCATGGCTGCCGGCTCCTGGGCGGCTGGTATCACCAACTCTATAGTACAGACATTCCAGGCAATGAGACTGCCCTTCTGTGGGGACAACGTCATCAACCACTTCACCTGCGAGATTCTAGCTGTCCTGAAGTTGGCCTGCGCTGACATCTCTATCAACATCATCAGCATGGTTGTGGCCAACATGATCTTCCTTGTAATCCCAGTCCTATTCATCTTTGTCTCCTACGTCTTCATCATCGCCACCATCCTGAGGATCCCCTCAGCTGAGGGGAGGAAAAAGGCCTTCTCCACCTGCTCTGCCCACCTCACAGTGGTGGTCGTCTTCTACGGGACCATCTTCTTCATGTATGGGAAACCCAAGTCTAAGGACCCCCTGGGGGCAGACAAGCAGGACCTTGCAGACAAGCTCATCTCCCTCTTCTATGGGGTGGTGACCCCCATGCTGAACCCCATCATCTACAGCCTGAGGAACAAGGACGTTAAAGCTGCCGTGAGGAACCAGTGGCTCAGAACAGCCGAGTGACTGTCACAGATGCCCAGATACCAGAATGCATGGCCTCTACACCCCTCACTGGTCTCATGGAGAAATGGTAACTCAGGAAAATCCTTAGGCCATGAGGAGAAAGGGCTTTTTAATTTCTGATCCTGCTGTTTAGTTTCTTGGCTCTATACAAAAACATGCCATAGGACAGAATTTCAAAAGTTAATGGAAAAAAATGAAATGAAAATATAAGTTTATTTTGAAATCATGCATAGTTTTTTTGTAATATGCATTTTCCATGAAATTTTAGAAGACCATTATATCATTTCTAGATTTGCTGCCCTAATCTTTAATTTTCTGATACCAGAGTTTGGGGAATATCCATACAAGTTATAGAGGTTGGCCAGCCATGATAGCACAGTGGTGATATGATATCCCAGGATGCTGAGGCCTCATGGGAAGGTCCCAGATCTGCATCCCGAGGTTCTCTGTACATGATCACACCCGTGATCCTGGCTGGCTAAGACTGGGGTGAATCATTGCACGTGGACTGTATTGGGGCTACCTCTACTTCTTTCTCGCTCTCTTTTTCTTTCTTTCTTTCTTTCTTTTTTTTTTTTTTTTTTGAGAGCTTTTTTTTTTTGCTATAAGGCGCATGCACTCACCAGAAAGACAGAGAGAGACAGAAAGCAAGAAATCACCAAAGGGGATGGCCACACCACAATCCCTTCTCCTCCCTTCTCCTCTCTGGATCTTGGGCACACACGCACATGCGCCCGGCATGAGTTTAAGCCACCAGGTCTGGGACTCGAACCACAGTAGACTACATGGGAGTTCAGGGACATAGCCATTACGCTAACTGTTGGTCCCCCTCTGTCTCTTTTTCTGATGAAGTAAATAAATAAACTTTTTTGAAAAAAAGAATTTCAGATGTGGTCAAAAGAGATAAACAAACAAAAATTTCAGTTGTACTGGGATCCTGGAGGATATTGTCACACCTTAGGTAAAGCTACTACCTATGCTACTCTGCTTCAGATTCATCCCAGGAAACTTCGCTGCTTCTTTCTTTCTTTCTTTTTTTATTCCAGTTTTCTTAAGGGTGCATGTGCCTGTTAGAGATAGTAAGAAGGAAAGTGAGAAATCACTCCGCAGGGAGATGGCCACATCATAATCTCTTCTCCTCCATCCTCCTCTTGGGATTTTGGGAATGCATACACACATACATCTGGTATGTTTTTTTTTTTTCTCCTCTTTTTTTTTTTTTATTTTATTTTCATCATAATCTTCTTTCTATTACACTAGATTACATATAACTTTACATTGACTTCCATTGCTTTTTCAAAAGGGAATGCCATGCATGTCAGTCAATACAGAGATATCAATCTCCCCGCTTTATCATTCAATATCTTTTCCATGCTTTTCCCAATAATTATTATTATAATTTTTTTAAACAATCAATCACTATTTTTCATTTTGCTTATTAAAAAGACTTCACCCATCATGAAATACTTCCCAGACCGGTTCAGTTGAGAATACTATACATGTCATCATCAACAGGTAATAAACCATATCTATTTCTCATTAACATCCTGCCTCTCTATTGTTCACTGCTGTCTTTATCCTCTTCTCTCTCCTTTTTTTTTTTATACTTTGTTTTTTATTATAAATTTTTTCTCATCACAACACACATATGAATTTTCCATCCAAAATACACTGTGCATTGGCTCAATCAAGCACATCAACATATATGTTCTCAGCAAATGATTTCCCAATTTTTGTGTCCTGCATACCTTGCCTTTTGTTTTGCCATCCTAGGTTCCCCATCCCCACCCTCTGCCATGTCCCATCTTCCTCCTCCATTGTCCCTGACATTCATGATTGCCCTCAATGGCTTCCGCCCCCCCCCATTCAATTGTTCTACCAATGAACTCAATTAGTCTAAGTATATCCACTAGCTAGCACAGCTGACATATCCTTACACATGTATCCAAATCTGATCCTAGGCATAAACCCCAGGGAGTAGAATGAACATATTATAAAGTAGACCCCAGTTGTGTCCATACAACTCTCTTCAGTCATCAAATGTGCATTTTTTTTTCCTCCTGCTTATTACTTTTTTTATATTAAATTATATTGCCTAACACTCATTCCCTGAGTATCATCACAACACACCAAGTGTAGTTTCCCATCTAGGATAAACTACATAGTGTCTTAATCAAGCATGTCGTCACCAATACTGTTCCATTTCTACTTTCATACATATAAATATGTTTTTTATCCTATGTTTGACCCTCAGCCCTTTCCCCCTCTCCCAATTACTCTATCTCTGCTATAGACAGCTATCCTCCAGAGGGGTCATTGAAAATGCGATACCTGCGAGTAGAGGGAGAGGGGTCACGAGTCCAAAGTTTTTAACAATAGGGAAAATAGATTCCATTCAAGGTTGGATCAAGTGTGGGTCTCGTGCAGTTCCGCAACTGTAGGTGAGTCTCCATGGAATACAGTTTCAGGAAAGCAGTTCTGGTAAGCAGAGTTGACCATCAGTTGATGTGGCACAGCGGCCATCTTGTGGTTAGCAGGAGTGGTGTTGTGGAGGTCTGCAGCGTGACTTATCCTCTGGTGTCTGGCTTCCCTAAGAATGGCAGGGTAGTTCCTGTTCTTGCCTGAGGTAATGCAGGGCTGGTATCCATCATCTTCTCACTGTCCATAGGTAGATAAAATCCTTCTCTACAGTGTATTTCTCAGTTGGTTTAAGGCAGTTAAAGGTTCTTTCTGTTGCTTATAGTTGCAAATTCTTATTCCTTCTCTTCAGCTTCAGCTTGCTGGCCCAGAGGCCGCCCGCCTCCTGCCGCCGCCGGCTTAGCAGGGCTCTGGGGGGGGGGCACGCAGAGTGATCCTGGCTTCTGACCTTTGTATAGTCTCCTCTTTTATGAAAGGCTGTACTGTCTAGTCTCAAGCCAAACCTCATCCTTCTCAAGATGTTGAGACCAGCAGATGGTATAATGTTGACATCACTGGACTCCCATGTAGTCAACCACAGTTCAAGTCCTAGACCCCCCCACACCTTTATTCATCAAGTGTTAAAAGGCATCTTCCTAAGTTTCAAATTGTTCTCTTCTCCAGTAGAGTTCCACTCTGCAATTCCATTGCTTCATAAATCTGGCATGTGAGATTTTAAGTGGTCTGCTGCAGTTTTCTCTTCTTCAGTCAGTGGTGCCAGCTCGCCTGCTGAATCAGGGTGATTGGTCTTGATTTCATATTCCAGTCTGTACTGAATGTAATCCAGATCAGAGTCAGCTTTCTGGAACATCAGTTCCATCGACCTCCGCCTCCATGTTGAATAGTTGACATTCCACAGACCTACATCTGGTATGTTTTTCAAGCCACCGGATCCAGGTCTCAAATCGTGAAGTTGGCCATTTGGGATCCAGCTTCCCTAACCTCTGTGCCATCTGCCAGCCCATTTTTCTAATGTAGAGATAAGTTGGAAAATGTCATCTTCCCCAATATATAATAGTGATCATTAACACTGTGGCAGGAATTCCTCTTAAGTCTTGCACTAGAAGTAATGAGACCTGAACCGGCAGACGGTGTGGTGGTTAAGGTGCTGGACTCCCACATGGCTGACCCTGGTTTGAGTCCCAGACCTGGTGGCTTGCCTTCTCAAACACCCTCTCTCTCTGTCTCTCTCTGTTCAAATTGAATAATAATATAAACAAATAAAATTTAAATAATTCTTTAAAAAAAGAAAAAAAGAAGTGGTGAGACTTAATCTTGAGCAGCTGCTTTGTTTTCATCTGAGGGACACTAAGAATCTGTTTGCAGCGTTCATCTCCTGTTGTCACTGCAGGGAAGTTCGGAGCAAACATGCCACCCCACGGCAGCTGAGTGCTGCATGATCGGGTGCCAGCAGCTCTCAAACTTTTGTCCATACAACTGATATGGCACGTAGCCATTGTGCTGTGAGCATGCCCACATTGTGATGGAACCCCAAAAGGCAGTGAGAAGCAAATCCAAAAACAATTCTCAAGTTTTGCAAAAGTTAAATGTTAAAA